CCCCCCCCCCCCCCCTTGAGCTTCCTGGTCAGTGACAGACAGGCATATTTCAGCCTTCCTTGGGAATTCCAGTTTTAGTTATCCCCCTTCGAGGAAAGTCCAATGTTCATTCACAGACCCAAGATGCCAGACCACGATTTCTTCAAGAAAGTAAATTCTGGGTGGTGGAGCTAAGTGTAGGGTTGGGATGGTAGATAGAATATATCTGTCTACCTTGGGGGTGTCTACCTGGCCTCAACCCCCCCCCTTGCCGATTTTCTGCCTACGCCACTAATGACATATCTCAATGCTCGCTACGAGATCCTTTATGTGGGAATGATGGATTGCGTCCCCAGTGTGAAGAAGAACAGGACTCGACTTCCCAATGCCTTTGCCAGTTTTTCCAACTGCCGAATGGTAATCGATTGTAGAGGGATCGAAATTGCTATTCCTACTCGTAGATTCAGCCTGGAAGCACAAAGAATTACTTACAGTAACTACAAGTCACGCAATACCTTCAAAGTGATGAATAGTGTTGCCTCCCCCCCCCCCCCCCATGGAACCATAACATTCATCAGTGAATGCTATACTGGAAGCATCAGTGATCGAACGGTGGTGGAAAGGAGTGGAGCAGCGAACACCTTCACGGAACACGGAATCTTCCTCCTTATCTCAGGGGGAAATCTCCATTCACTCCTGAGGAGGTGGCAATGACATGGAAGATCGCCTCCTGTCGAGTCCATTTTGTAAGGGCCATCCAGATAATGCATGGATATGCCGTGATATTTCCCCCACAAATCTGCGTCCCTCAGCAACAAAAATAGTGAGAATAGTTGGGTTTTTGGTGAATCTTCAAACTCCCATAATTCAAAGGGACTCGAGTGAAATGGTGGGGTTATTTTCATTTCATTGAAATGAAAGATAATGCATTGGAATAAAAGCTGAACATTGAGCGGGATAGCCGAGCGTGTCGTTTGTTTACCCCCTAACGCTAGCCACGTGCATCTTGGGGGCGGGACTAGCGGAGTGTATAGGATTAACCAGTCGCGAACCACGAAATGTTGAAATCCGGTCGTCTCTGTGCTCTTCGTCGAATTTTCGATCATGCATCATGAGTTTGTCCCACCAGGCCAACCAGGCTTACTGCAAAGATGTTTTGACCCGTCTGCGAGAAAAAATTAGAAGAAAACGACCCCAACTTTTCCAAAATGAAGCATGGTTTTTGCATTAAGACAATGCTCCAGCCCACACTGCTCTCACAATTCGAGAGTTTTTGGCTAAAAAAAAAAAATTCTTGTGTCGCCCCACCTATTCACCGGACCTGGCTCCGTGTGACTTTTTCCTGTTCCCCAAGATTAAATTTCACGTGAAATGAAAAAGGTTTGAAGGCATTGCAAGCATCAAGGAAAATGCCACGAGACATCTTAAGTGTCTTACACTCCAGGACTTCCAGCACTGCGTCCAGAAGTTGCAGGAGCGTTGGAATAAGTGCATAGCATCGAGGGGGGAATACTTTGAAGGGGACAACAATTAATTTTAATGTACTTATTAAAAATAAAGTTTACGAATAAAAGTACTGGAACTTTTTGATCAGACCTCGTAGCTTTAGGTTATTGGTGTGGACCCTTAGGTATAGTTTTCTTTTCCTTCGTCGCTCCGTATTAACAATATGATAGATGAAACTATGTTACGCTCGTGCTCACATTTCCTGGAAGGTGACATCGCCAAAATTGTTTTCTGAAAGGAACTCCACGTTGCACTCGTGGGCCGTGAACACATTGAAGCTCTTGAAGGGGAAGTGGGAGTTTTTGAATATGCTAATGAGTTCTCCGGCATCTCGGACCGAGGAGCAGTCCATGTTCAGCTCGTTCGAGGAGGTCTGGTCGCAAGTGCACGGAGCAATGTCCGACGCATTCGGACACGGATATTGAGCCCACGCCGGTGCGACGCCGGAGAAGACTAGTGCCACCGCCCACATCCAATTCATCTGCATCTCTGCTGGGAAGGAAATGAGAGATCCGTGCAGATTCACCGCGGCTTTCATCGTTAAGCTCGTTGAATTCTTTTGTATTAGCGCATCGGACCGATTTTTATGGAACGGGAAAGACCTAAGCCTTCAGCATGTGAAAGACTTTCCTAAAGGGGAAAGGTAACCGAGCAGTCTAAAGTGAACAAAAAACACCGTAAGAGTTCCTTTCGTAAGAAGAAGTAATACGTTGCCTGATGTGTCTCACCTTGGTTAGTGAGGAGGAACAAGGTCAGATATAGTTTTGACTGTAGCGATGGAGCTCGTCAAGACTCCACGTGAGAAATGACGCATCTGCCGCAAATTCCCAGCCGTATAGATAGGCGTTCCCGGATACGGCCGTTTCCATGCACAAAGCGGGGGGGGGGGGGGGGGGGCCCCCCCCCCGCCTTNNNNGGGGGGGGGGGGGGGGGGGGGGGGGGGGGGGAACCTCCACCTGCATTGCTCGAGGCCGAAGATAACCGAGCATCGTCGTCAGGAACGTCGTCGACGTTCAACCGATGGACGAGTTCGTCAACGTCGCGTGACTTTGGACGAGTTCGTCGGATCTCCATATCCAACGGTGCGTGCGTAAAACCGTGGGTGGGGACGATTCCGATGTTTTCTCGGTCAGAATTTTACTTCGTGCAGAAACTCGTTCGTGAAAATCACGAACAACGACTCGAGTCTCCGTCGTTTGGGTCAAAACGAACCTATCGATTCCCAACGTTTACATTTTAAATAGTAGGAAGGTCGTACTAATAGCCCAAAACGATCATCCGGAGAGGGTTTATTCACGAAACGTGGAAGGTATGCTCTCCATTACGTGTAGAAATATCGAGAAAAGTCTCAAGTTCATGGTAATGAGGCGATGCAAGGAAAACTGGCTCAAGGCCCAAGGAATAGAAGTGGGCGGCGGCACCGATACCGCCGGTTTTCTTTTATTTTTCCTTCGAGTCCCTTTGCTGTTGGACCGTTGTCGAGTTGGCTACCTGCGAGGTCTTGCCTTGGCAAAGCCTTCGAATGCAATTTCCCACAATTTTTCGAGCGTTTCACCGACGTACAGTAATCGGGATGCTTCACGCGCGTCTGCATGATCATGCGTCAAACTGATGCATGCATCATACTAATTATCATATGATCACGATATGCAGGGTGATAGCATATTTTTCTCAAGGGTCCACAGCAACGACAATGATCTCCATATATATTAATATATATATATATATATTTGACACGAACTAATAGTAATATTTTTTTTGCTCATCTCGAGTCTCCATGAGCATTTCGCTCGACTACCAAAATGGGATCTCTCACTCCGGAAAGTGGCCAGGGAGCGATCCCAGCAGACGAAGCCGAATCAGTTAATGCCGACGTGCATTGCGAGCGTTGCAGAAGAAACGACAGTCGCATCGACACTTCGTCGCATCCCGACGGATGCTTCATGCAAATGCTAATACGAAATCGATACTTCGCGGGCACGTGACGATCCCTTCGAAGGAAAAGACAGATACGCTGGAAACAATTCACGGAAATATCTCCGTAAAAATGTCGGATTAAGAGCATGGAAACCCTGATTCCCCGTATCACTCTGGGAAAAACGTGCTGAATTTCCTCGGAAATCCCATTTTATGTCGTTCGCAGAATTTTTCCATCTTTCCTCTGAAATATCACGCAAAAGAGCCCTCCGTTCCGAGTCTGCTGGCTCATTTTCCTGCGATAACGCGAAACTTTTCCGGCTGACACCTTCGGGAAGCCACCCGACAATTTCCGTTTCAGTTTTCGGGACAGTTTCAGTTTCCATTTTCGACCCAAGTCGTCGAGGACTCTCACTCGCACCTCGAACGATTAAGTCATCTTGATGCGAGAGGAAACAGAGTTTTCAATCCCAATGAGAAATCAATTCCTGTGAATTTGAGAAACGAAGAGCATTCAACCTTTCCGCGAAAGGCAATGAATTATCTGTAATTAATGAGGGTACCTAGGCGTCTCCGAGTAATGCATGCCATTAGGGCTTCCCCAAATTAGACGGAAAATCTCCTGGGAAAACGCGAAAAAATTACCTACTTTAACGGGGGAAAAAAAAAAACGATTCCGACAATGAGAGTATTTCTTCGTGAGAAAATTAGAATAAACGGATTCCGCTCTCAATCTGTAAGTCACTCGCAACTTAACCCTTTCAGACCTGGCGTCCATTCCAATGGACATTGCATTTGCATTGTGTCTATGGCAATTTCTTAGGATTCTCGTGACTTTGTGCTCCATATTACGCTACAATGGGCGCAATCATGCATGGCTCAGTTCCGTCAGAGGCCTTATTTCACCCATTAGTTTTATAATCTTCAGTTATTTAATTAAATGCATAATATATAATATATGGTATATGATATATTTATACAAAATATGAAAACTACACATAAAGCACGAAAATTTCAATTACAAGCACGAAAGAGCTCAAAAATCCAAAAAAGGATATTATTCCGATAGCAACCTTAATTCAGGTCTGAAAGGGTTAATCATCTTCGAACGCGATTCCGACGAGGCGAGGAATCCGAGGAGTTCGCGAGAGACCCGCATTTCCAGAGCACTTCGAAGCATGCAGTCGAACCGAAAACTCTGTTTCCACCGTCTGATGCCGATCTCGTCTCCCAAAAATCTTATTTTTTTATTCGCTGGAGTGCGTCCGAGAACACCAAGGAAACCTGAATCCGAAAGCAAAGAAACTCAATCGCGCGACGAGAGAGGAGCCGGCACGCGCCTTCGAGCCTCATCAAATAATCGTCTCGCAACCCGTGCCGACGTCGAAGCGAAAGCGCCGAATGTACTCGTCCGTTCCCAAGGAATAACCCTCAAGTCCTAGTTCAATTTTTGCTTCAAGGCGCGTTCAAGCCACTTTTTTTATCGCCATAATTTCGTTCCTTTTTTTTTCTCTGTAAATATACAGCACAATAAGTAAGGGAAGCAAAGGCAAGACCTTTCGAATTTCAACCCGTGGAATGATTAATTTCCAGTAAATTATAAGCATAATTTCCGTTACTGTAATTACAATCGCTTTGCAGTGATTTCGTTTATCATTCGATTTCATCATCATGAGAGATGACACAATTTTAGGCTCGAGCTCACATTTCCTGGAAGGTGACATCGCCGAAATTGTTGTCTGCTAGGAACGTGACGTTGCACTTGTTGGCCGTGAACACGTTCAAGGACTTCACGGGGAAGAATGAATCCTTGAAGATGCTGATGAGTTCTCCTGCATCTCTGACCGAGGAGCAGTTCACGTTCCGCGCGATCCGGTCGCAAGTGCACGGAGCGATGTCGGACGCATTCGGACACGGATATTGAGCCCACGCCGGTGCGACGCCGGAGAAGACTAGTGCCACCGCCCACATCCAATTCATCTGCATCTCTGCTGGGAAAGAAATGAGAGATCCGTGCGGATTCGTGCCGATTTTTAATTTTGCCGAATTTCTTCGCTCTCTCTCTTCGCCTCTCGCGTCGATTTACACGAGGCAAAGAGAAAACCTAATTCTTGGAGAGTCTTCCACTCGGACGACTTGTAGAAAGGGGTTTTCCTGTGTCGGTTTTCGTCTGCCGTCATTTCGCATCGTAGAATCCACTAGATTCATCGTAGAATCCACACTGCGGGAGGAATTCTAGACTTCTCCCACCGTATGGCACGTGGGAAAATTTGGGGGAAGGATAGCCGAGTATTTATTTGATTCCACTTCGAAAGTCAGAGAAAATCGCACCTAGAACTAGTTATTGCGAAAAGTACCCACGAGTGAAGTCTCTGTTGCTTCGGAAAGGAGACGAAAGACGTTGCTACATGCATCTCACCTTCGACTAATTGGGAAGAGCGGAGTCACTGCCGTAAAGGAGAAAATAGGAGATCGTCACGATTCCGCGTTGAAGATAATGCACATACTACCATTTCCGAGCGCATAAATGCATTGTATCCCACTCGGCTCGATAGAAAGATCGGAAACGTCTACCCGCGCTGCTTGAGGTCGTAAATAACCGAGCTCCGGACGACCGTTATTGGGAACGCCGCCGCCTTTCGGTTTGGAATTCAAGTCACGTGTGACTCGGATCACTCGATCAGGAAGTCGCCTCCCACCTCTTTAGATCAGGCTATGAAAAAAAAAATCCTCGAGCAGGATGAACCAATGGGAAGAAGGAATTTAAATGGGAATGGTAGAGGCAATCGACCAGACCTCGATCGTCCGGGATCTAGGATTAGGGTTGATCTGCCGCTTCCGGCATCTGCGTTAAGCGTGTCACAGCACTAACTTCGCGCTTGCTGGTTGGATGTCGCTGCACTCGACGGTGTATAAACCGGTTCCGGTGCCGTCTTTTGCTTTACTTTCCGAGCGCAAACTCATTCGCGGGGAATATGCACCGATGTGAGTCAAGACAAAGACATCTACTTCCATCGTTTCGGAAATTGAATTTTTAAGTTGGTGAATTCTGCGGCTCTGTACTCTGGAGCACCTCGAATCGTCTCGTCCCGGAGAGGATATGCATGTGATTCACTCCTGGTAAAAATGAACCTCTCTCTTGTCTTGCTCATTTCAGCTTTTTCTAGTACTACGATGAGACCGGGGAATGATGGAGTCTGGATTTCCTCCTACATATCCCGCCACTCATCAAAGAGTGGAGGGTGGTAAGAGAGGAGGGAAAATTTTCAAAGAAACTAATTTCTTTAAAAGACTGCCCTTCATCTGACCAGTACTGAGTAGAGCTAGCCAAAGCGGGATGCGTTTGACATTTAGTGTATGTTTCCGAGATATCGTCCCTTGCCTTTTCTCATAGCAAACTAAGACTTACAGAAACTGAAATCCGTAGGTTCCTTTTTCATGCGATTCTGTGCTAGCGAGAAGATGTATATAGTAGTACATCCAAAATTTTTTTTTAGAGAGATGTCACTGAAGTATACAAGACTACCCATACATGAGGCAATAATCACATTAAGGATGATCGCAGTGTTCTCCCTACTGTCATCATATCTCAGCTTGGAAGAACGCAAAATTGCTGGCCATATGAAAGCATCCGGCTTCTGAATCCTGCCGAGGCCTAAACAAAATGTTTTGTCGATTTTCACGATCAGATTGGCTCCCTTGCAAGACATTCAGGAAGCATAACATTGTCAATCCCAAGCATTTCAGTGGAAATCATCCATCGTCATCGTCATCGGTGCTTCTCATGCCTCAGGCTATGTTGCATTCGAACAATTGAATGAATTGAGTGAATTTATGGAGGGAGCTATTGACGTGGTGGATAGATGGGTAGACGTGGATCTGCAAATCCCGCTGAATTTGTGGACCGCTTGGCTGTAGAAAGTGGTCAACATGCCCTTGCTTCGCAGCGAGACTTAATTCACATTTTGTGGTGATACTTTAACTAACACCTGGGAGTGGGAGAGAAAGTTCTGGCGTCATTCATTGCACAACTGGTGCAAATCTTCATCGGATTTATTCCATCATTAAAAATATATTATATCATTACCGTGTTTAAGCCTGTGATTCTTTCACTCCACTAATCTACTCACTGGTACGCCTCTCCTTTCTCCTTTACATATAGATCATTTGCTTGGAATATTCACCGCAACAGAGTTCTGTCGAAATTCGACATGAAAAGGTCATGTAACGTAAAACATATGTTGAATCAGGGATTTTTCTCTCAAAATAAGCAAGGAGCCAAGGAATCCATAGCCGAAAACCAGATCCTCTTCTGTCCCCTCTTCTCCATCACCTTCGCTTGTTTCCTCTTCCGAACGTTAGAAACTGATGCCAGGCTGACCATCAAAATCCCCGCTGTGTCGTGAATTGTCCTCCCCACTTTTTGCACATTCAGGATGGCCTGCTGTTCTTGAAGGGTCAAAGATTTTCCCCTACTCCGACACCGTTGACATGATGTCGAAGGGAGTAAAGTGGGCTCAACCATACACTCTTAGAAAAAGGGGAGCGATTTTTCTCAAAAAAGAGTGAAATCGCTAACTCCAGTTTCACTCCCCTTTCGCTCTGGGAAAGGAGCGAATTTGCTCCATCACCAAGGAGTAAAAATGCTCCCCTCAGAAAGAGATAGAGATGTCATGCAAATACGAAAATATCTCATATACAGTATGATGTGTGTCGCTTTCGCTCTCGTACAGGCGATAACCTATAGTACTGTAGGTTATCGCCTGTACTACTGTTACTACAGTAGAAATAGAGTAGATTTCTACTGTTACTACAGTAGAAATTGAGCACACCGTGAACTTTTCAAATGTACTCTATTATTGCTCACCAAGTGCTCCCTCATCGCTCGTGTTGAAGTGAACACCTTGAAATTCTTCGCCAGACCACTAAATGGAGGAAAGGGTCTCGCTTTTCGCACAGTGCACAAAAGTTCTCTTCTCTCTTTCCCTGGAATCATTCCTCGCAGGATTTAGTACCTCGACATATGTCTCGTATAGTCTCATTATAGGAATCAATAAACACGGACACGTCATCTTTGTTATCCACACATTCAAGACAGATTCAAAGAGTCCAGGCGATAAAAAAGCTCATATTCCTTATGAGAACCCTTTTGAAACTGGTAAGGGTTTCACCCCCAGAGGAGATCTAGAATGTATAAGGCGTGTCCGTGAGCTCAATTCTACACTCTTAGAAAAAAGTGAACGATATCCCAGAAAGGGAGCGAAACTGGAGTTAGCGGTTGTATTCCCTAAAAACGAGGAAGTGCAATCGATAACTACTCCTTTATAAGAGCAAAATCCATATATTTTTTAAGAGCGCGAAACGAATGAGGGAGAGTACTTTCCAAATTAGTAGAAAAAGTTAGTGGTTGTTCTCAGGAAAGAGAGAGGTGAGCGGCTGCACTTCCTTGTTTTTATGGAGTAAAACCGCTAATTCCAGTTTCGATCCCTTTCCCGGAAATCGCTCACTCTTTTCTAAGAGTGTACTATTTCCTCAACTTGATGGGATAAAGAGGAAATGAAGAACTGATATCGCGGACTCTACATGGAACCGTAAGGGGTGGTCCATCCTCTAACATCTACTGTAATCAGTACAGTTAGATGTAGGTAAACGCCTGTACTGACATAATCGAGAGCGAAAGCGGCAAACAGTATATATAAGGATTTTCGTATTTGCATGACATCTCTATCTCTTTCTGAGGGGAGCATTTTTACTCCTTGGTGATGGAGCAAATTCGCTCCTTTCCCAGAGCGAAAGGGGAGTGAAACTGGAGTTAGCGATTTCACTCTTTTTTGAGAAAAATCGCTCCCCTTTTTCTAAGAGTGTAGGTCAGTGTTTAAATAGCACTTGAGCCACATTCGACAAAGGGAACTCGAAATACAGTGAGTCAATGTCTACATCCAGCATGAATGCATCGGCATTAGCATATTACATATTAAGCACTCCTTTTCTTTTCTTTCTGATATACTCTGCAGATATACTAGAGGTGCTTTGTTTTCAGAACGAAAGTTCCCAGAATAAAAGTACTCAGAACAGCACTGGTTTTCTCATGAGAACACTTTTTCATATTTGAGGATGGCAGTAAAAATATTTTCCCTTGAGTCGAACAAGAGATGAAACTCCTGTAACCACTAGGGCAGCACCAGGTTCGTCTTCTCCTCGAGACAATTCTCACAACAGATGAAAAAGAATGCACATTTAAGAAGTTCATCGGAACGAGAGCACTAATTGGCAACGATGTCCGATCCCCGTCGGGATGGCATCGTCACAAGGCGACGAAAACTTTCTTCTTGTACATGATGAAGGCGATGATGACCCAAAGGGACGTGCCCCAGAGGCTCTCCACGAGCATTTCCCAGTGGGTGTTCATGGGACCATATCTCCAGTGCCAGGGGAAGAGGTTGTAGCCAATCGAGTGTCCCGCGTACATCACGATCGCGTTCATCCCTAATACGAGTCATTCATACATCAAGGCACATTTGAAAAAAATGGAAAAATCAAGGTTCCTTCAGCAGAATTTTATTAACTGTCTTTCATTCATCTTAAACGTTTATGTATGACCGATATACATATTTTTAAAACTGCCGAGTCAATATGTATTTGTTTATTATTCATGAAAATGGCTCAAAGATTGATGGCGGCTATGTGCAATCGAATGAATTAATGAAATAACAATTATATTCTGCTAAGATTAGCATAATTGTGTCTATGAGAAGAAGAACAGTCAAAGGAGTAGTTGTGGGAAAATTAATGGGGCATGAAGCTGACGTCCAGTGATCAATAGTAAGTTAGCCAAAGCGCGGCAACCACCGTGGTCAGCGGCAATTTAGCGACAGTGGGCGGCAATCCCTTCGTATGGGTGTGGATCACGAGGCTTCTGCCATGAAAAAAATTGTATTCACTCAGACGAAACTTCTGAACGAGTCACGTGAAACTCTTTGAACAGTTAAAATCGTGTTTACATGAGTTTTGTCGTACTTGCTCGTGAAATGTCCGCCTCCAATCTGTCCATATTTCAAAATGGCAACAGATGCGCTTGTAAAGTCGAATGCTTTGCACACAATGGAAGCGTGAATCGAGATTATAGCCAGAATGAAGCAAAAGTACAAATCTAGCCTTCAATTTCCATAGCATAGTTTGTCACCCATGAAAAGCATGCACTTGGCTATGTGTGGTTACCTGGGTATATGAATGGAGACCCGTTCCACCATTTGAGAATGTCGATGAGGATATATGAAACAGTGAGCAGGAAAAATGCCATCGATGTCGTCACCATCACGTAGGAGAAAGACCTTTGGGGAAAAGGGTAATCATTCATCGGTTGCGAATGACCAGGATCGTCCGGATGATTCAAGTTTCACAGTTATTATTGTTCTTTTGCTTAATATATAGTAGGGCTGTCGATCGATTAATAAATAAAATCGATTAAACGTGATACATTTAATTGGTTACTCGAATTTTAATCGATCCCATGGTTCCTCCTTGAATCATGTCCAAGGCGTTGGGAATGATTCTGCTTGTGTCATGCCCAACACCTAGACGTGCCTCAGGAAGTGACTCAAGGCGATACGGTCGCTAACATAGCAGTTACTATCCATACATACAAAAGTTGATCCTACAAGTGACACATTCCAGTTAGAAAATAGTTACAACTTAGCCAGATAAATAATGAAACGTAAGCAAAGAAGCGCACTGACGACCTTTGCCATTTAACCAACCCATAATGGAAGGATGCAAACATGTAATCTAAATGACTGAACGTATACAGTGACACTTCATTACGCGGAGATTTAAAGATTCATTAACGATTTACGGGCAACACGGGAAGAAGAAAAACAGGAGCAAACAAGGAATAGGAGAAGATTTCACGCTTTCTTTTCCTCTTCTCTCACCTGCCTCCGGCTTACCCCCCCCCCCCCCTCTCTCGGTTACTTTCCGGGGGCTCCCACAGACGTTCGCCGGTGCACTTACACGTACGCCTCTCACTTCCCAGTCTTACATCATCCTCTTTCCTGTCTCTCCAGTCCCATGCCCCTGCTCAACTCCCCTCTTCCTTCTGTGCTTTCCCTTGCAGCTTCTTCATAATGACTTTCTTTTCCCCATTCGCATCCAGTGACCTTTCGTTCGCTCTGCCCTAGGACACTGTTTACCTTTGCCTAGGCCTGACGCGCGAGGCCTGCATGGCTATGCCTTTAAAGGCCGTAGGCTAGGCAGAAGGTCACGGGATGCGTACCAGTACGCTTGTGGATGCGAAGGGGTCATGAAGCTATTTTTTTTGTAACAGTCTGAAAGCAACGGCTTTGTTTTTGTGTGTTCCCTTTTCCAAAATTAAGTATGTCGTTTTGAGAGTGAGCAGTGCGAAAATGACTACCTTCTATAAGCCATCATTACATTTCATTCCCTTGATAAAGCATTCGTTTTCGGTTGTTTTGTAAAACTATGAACTACACAGTAAAATTATGAGGGGAAAAAAGAGGCATTCAGGGGGATATTAGGAGGTAGATTAAAATTCTATTAAGTTAGACTAATTTTCTAAATCGCTATTAACACCTTGATCAATTAATCGGCCTATTAATTGAATTGAATTGACAGCCCTAATATGTATATGTCTCTGCTGTTGGAGGGGAAGGGGGAATTTTTTGATGCGATGGTAAGGTTATACTTTTCCACCCAATTCCCCACCAGTTGGAGAGTACAGAAATAGGGATCTGACACAAACAAGATGAAGATTCTTAAGAGCTTCGGTGTCACCAGAGCCAACCTCAAAAGTATATCCTACTGGGCGGGCCGAAGGCTCAAGGTTCAAGATTCGGATAGGACGTCAAGTGGCACTTCCGTTCATTATGACATCCAGTGTTAAGATCGAACGTTCGTGTATGAGATAGCCTTACCCCTCCTAATGATAGATATTTTCGCGGGAGCATATCCACCTGTAGTTTAGTCGTTTACAGTTACATTGCTCCGATTTTTTGATTTGCCCATGAATCCTCTTAAAGCGAATCGCTATAGAGGGAGCCACTACACCGTCACTTAATGCATTCCACGCATTAACTACCCTACAAGTAAAGAAGCCGTTCTGCAACTTGCGTCTCGCTTCAGGTTTGCACAATTTAAACCGGTTTCCTCTTCCTTAAGGGAACTGTTTAAAGATAGACAGTGAACAAACCAGAGGTTTTTGTTGACGGGGATCCAGCCTTGTTCCTTGGAGGCTAGGCAGAGGAGAGCACCAAGGGCACCACACGTGACACCCCAGACGAGCCACCGTTTCACGCGACTCTTCCAGTCACTGAAGAGCAAAAGCGTCATCCCGGCTTGCATCCCCAGGAACACTTGGAACGCCGACGTCAGGCTTCCTGTGTTTCCAGACCGAAGCAGTGAGCCCAATGCAATAATCCAACCCAATACGTCTGCATTCAACACTGATACTGTGTTATCATACGCAAATACTTGGATACCTCAATCGCCTTTATTACTTGCATTACAATTTTAATGCTTCACATTCACGTTTCATATGTTTCGTGCAGGCATATTAATTGATATATAATCCCTTAATTTTTTTTCAATGTCACGCAGAAAGGAAATCTAGATTAAGATAAAATATCCCTCCAATTGGTTAGTATCATTGTGGTTCTAGGTGAATTATGCTTTACAAGCATCACCCTTTACAAAGTGCCATCTTTACAAGGTGGCACTTTCCAATCTTGTTTACGGGTACTGTACAGTACCCTGCAGAAGGTTCATGCGAAAAGCACATGCTCTCCAGCTATCTCCTGTGAAGGAAACACGCTTGCAGTTGAGAATGTGATGCTTCGCTCGAATTAATGGAATTATGGCTGCACTACTTGCAAAGAGTAGTTAAATGAACTCATTATTCCCACTGAATACTAATGGTAAAGTATTTGGATATTTTTTGAAGAACTCCATTACACTGATTCTGACTCTGGATGATCCAGAAAGCGAGAAATAGAAAGAGAGAGAGAGAGACCTAGTATGCCCTCAGGGTCGAAGGGTCCACTGTCGTAAAGGATGGAAGCAGTGGGTGTGGGATAGAGATGGGCTTCCCCCAGGACGACCCGGTCGATGTATCCCGCCGCACCTCCGATGCACTTCTTGTGTGCCCCCTCCTCGTGCATCCCTCCGGGACCCAGGTAACCCCTAGGAACATCAAGGGATCATTACCGACTCTGTCAAGGTTCACTCAGAGACCAACTCAACAGGGCGTGTCAAAAGAGTTGCGGGCGAAAGAGGCTGGCGTGTCGAACTTTTTCTGTTGTCATTTTTCTCTAATTTGCATACTGTGAAGTTGTAAGGTATCTTTCTACGAAGCATACCACGAACTCGCAATCAACGTGAAAACTAATCGGATGAAGACGCATATTACCTCAGATTGACGAGCAAAGAAGTACTGTTGTTCCGGAAGTACTTTCTTCTGTCTGAATAATACGGGAGCGTATCTAAATGCCGAACGTCCATTAACCGAAGGCAACATTATCGAATATTGAATTATCGCATGCCGATGAATCAAATGAATGACGCTCGAAATATCGAATACATTGGATGAACTCATTTCGTCGAAGAAAGATATTTCCGGTGAAAGCAGATTTACGTCGAAGGGCCAAAATGCAGGGAGGAAAAAAGCCATTTACGTCAACGGCGTGGTTCTCTGCTTACTTAGAGAAATATCAGCTATCAAATCGCTTATTTACAAAATATAAACTTTGGAATCATACATTTTATAGCACCGCCTAGGAAGAAAACGACTTCGTCATATCTGGGATCTTATGGACTACAATATGTTGCATGCACATCAGATGAAAAATGATATGAATGCCCCCTCAAGAGAGATGGACACGTGAGGAATTTACGGAATTCCCTTGTTCCTGTTAATCTTTTTTTTCTGACCCTGATCGTGATTCGTATACAACGTGGGAAATACCATGTTCTTTCGTCATCGGTTTTTCTTGTGGAGCTGTGATAAGAAGGCGTTAAAATGCATATGTACTCCGAACTATGACGATGCATGATATACAAGGAGTGATCCTCGACCCAGACATCATTCAAAAGTGCAAAGGACAGTAGTGCTACTTGAGCTAATAACCAGAGCACAGCTGAGCGGGAGCATGCAGACAGCCAAAATGAAGAAATTGAAGCTGGCATTTCTTCGCCCTTGTAAGCCTTCCGCGACACGAACCTTTCGATTCCCAGACACTTCTCTGAATGAACCCTTCGATGTATGGTAGCATTCGCTCAGCTGTCCTTCGACATGATGTCCATTCGTCGGCATACGTCTCGATAATTCGATATCAACCCGAATAATACACCCCCGAAGGATCGATGAGAAGCAACCCAGTACTTGGTTCATACTTCAGATTTACTGTGAACCGTTCCAGGAGCAGATTCTTTTGCCTTCTTTAGCCCTATTAATGCAGTCGTGAAGGAGCAATGAGAAATGAACTCTTTAGACTGATGACACCTGAATTATGGTCGGACGTATAAGGCGCAACCCCGTCTAACGAGTAGGGGATCATTATAAGTCGCGCAGGATGCAACTTCCTTCGTCTATTGACAGCAGGATAATTTTTTAAAAGTTTAACCTGCAAGCCTGTAATCATGGGACCCAAGGACCCAATGACTACAGAATAACAGCCAGACGTATAGTGACTCCTAGTGCTTCGTTACCGAAGAACGAAAGAAAGACGTACGAAGAGCAGCCAGGGACGGGTAGAAAGAAGGTGAAGGCGAAGTGGAGGATGAGGATGCAAATACTCCCCACCCAAACTGGCAGTAACTCCCAGATGTCCTGCAGGACCTTCAGGGGACCCTGTATTCCAAATTGATTCGATGCATGGCATGCTTTCACCTCTTCCATTCCACACAGGGTAAGGCAATAAATTTCATCCCAAGAATTCCATTATATGCTTTACAGTTTCAGAGTGCACTTACTGGGAATTTCAGATTTTCTTTGAATTATAATTGCTTCCTCTCAAATGTATATTTTGTCCTTCGTGTGAATTGGGGATAGTTTAATATTTACAAGTAATTTTTAACATTAATGAATTGGCTTTTCCATGTCATGGGAGGTTTTTCTTGCGTGTCCGTGCCATTTTAAAATTTATTGGCCTACAATCAGTTCCTGATTTACTGCATCGAAAATTCACAATCGAATTGATTTTTGTCCATCGCCTTTGAAAACGGAGCGATAAAACGAAGGAAAAAATGATTTAGTATAAAAAACCTTGGCGATGGGCGTGTAGTCATGCTTTGCAAAGGCAAGCATGAGTACTGCATTGATGAAGTAGGCGACGGCGAATCGCTGAAGGACCCCGAAGATTCGGAATCTCTGAAGGTCATTCCGTCCTCCGAGGGAATTCAAGATGAGTCCAAGCAAGAAGAGTTTCACGGATCTCGAAAGGACGTGGCGAAAGATGGAGAGTCGACTCCCGTCTCTCCGCAATCCCGATCGGATGGACATTGGGATGCACACTCCCATGATCCATAGGAACCTAGGGATCATCACCGTCATACTATAATATCGTATCATCTGATAATAGATTATCCGGCGAGGGGGTAAATAGGAGGCGAGAAACGCAAAAGCGAGGCAATAGTGTTTTAGCATCAGTGCGTAGAGAAAAATTAGGAAGTTTTTGCATTTTCAATCGAGTTTTTTCCCCACACTGTAAAATGAATAAAAGAAAATCGCCTCAATAGATCAAAATACCCGCAAGTTGTCTTCGGCTGTTGCAGCGCTTGTCATTTCTCGTATGTAAATGAAGCTGAAAGGAAGGATTGCGTGACCAAGGCAAAAACATGAGGGTGAACTGTGGAGTGTTTGCCTTCGTTTCAGAGATTTCTTCCCCCTCTGCAAAAGTTACTTGGACACACTCGGACGACTCGTGTTCATTATCACGTGCACAGGTCGGAAGGTCTCGATAAGTGCAAAAGATATTCATTGCACTCTAATCCTTGCAGGTGATTCAATACAATCTCAATGATGTTTGGAACGCTGAGGCAGCAGATGGAGGGTTTAAAAATCTCAATTTACCAATCGTTTAGGCAAATTACTTGAAACTTCGGCAGTTTGTGACAAGCATATACCTTGCCTTGCATTTACTCGGCCTGGTAGTTTTATGGGTCCCTCAACGACTATGTCTATACGATGACTACATCCCTCATCAAAATGTCCGATCTGCAATTTCCTTTACGAACTTATGGAATTCCTACCGTTCGCATCATGAAACAGAATGGGAATACCATGGGAAGACGAGGTCGGCGACGAGAAGGCCATTCCACGGTGCATGTTGGAAAAACCAATACCCTGCTCCTCCATTATTTACGAAGATCATCACCACGATTGAGATCCTGCGAGGCAGAGAGGAGGTGAAAAGGAAGCCTCCAAAATTCAGGCTTTAAAAAATTCGGAAAAAAAAAATTATAGGCAAAAGAAGGATAAAAGATACCGGAAGAAGGTGCTTCAACTAAGAGCACTTAAAACAAATCCGTATCTGTAAAGGACTAACTCGTATCTTTAATGATGCGGTCCGTTCGCCGACGAGTGTCTGTCTCGAGTGAAGCTAATCGTTCGTGTGAACGATTAGCTATCTCGTGAAATTCTTTCCGTTCATGAGTATATTCGAGCTAGTAACGTTTCGACTCGCGTAGCTTCAAGAAAGATCAGAAAGAGAGGATGTCAGACCCTCGGAAGGTGTCCAAGGACTTGAGACGATGTTTCTTTTTCTTCCTCTCTTCATCGGCATCCCAAGAGGAAGTGATGTCTATCGTCGTCTCGGGTCTCATGGATTCTCGGATGTACCGGCACAAGGTCTTCAGTCGACTTCTTCTCCAAAGCGCCTCGAAGACGATCCAAAGAAAGGCGAGAACCACGTAGAAGAGGAAGCATGCCAGCAGCCCTGCATGTATAAATTAAAGTCCATCGGCATCCCCGTTTTTTCTAAGCATCGGTCATGCTCGATTGGAAAATGCGATGGGTCACCCATCCCCGCCGACTCGACATCCTCGTTCAGTGCATTTACATATCTATAGTATCTAGAGCAGTTCAAGTGCGGCTCAAAGACACGCAGAGTACTTCTGTGCGACGCGCAAGAGAATTGCGAGAGAGAAAGAAAAAATAATTAAATACTGGTCCGTCTGTTTCCCCTCCCCCCTCCCCACCCCTCCCTCCTCGCCCATCAAGCTCCTTTGTTCACTCCTGACCTCAACTTATAATACAGTTTAACTTATAATTTCGATTTTGTGAGTCCCAACGACCCAAAAGTTTGGATAAGCTTGACCTAGAATTTATTTTATTCATAATACTTTGCAGTCTCTCTTGTTTCGCTGCCGACTTCTTGATAATCAGCAATAGACAGCAGTAATTACATATTAGTAATGATAGAATGAAGCACTAGTTATTCTTTTCAAGCTTCCTTTTCTCCAGTTCTGTTCGGTTTTGTCTTTTCACTCTTATTCAAGAAATTGTTTTTTTAATTCAGACCTGAATAAATGTTGACGGGTTCCTTGCGGGTCTCGAAAGAACAGTTTTGAGGGTCGATGGAATAGACACCGAATTCCCCAAAATGGTCCGTCCCGACGATGCATTCTGCCCGGGACTCATTCGCCTCGGGCAGGAAATCTCCAACATCCTCCTTGGAGAAAGCCAATTTCCATGGGAATTTCGTATCCACCGTCCAGATCCATGCCTGCCCGCTTTCCACAATCGCCTCTGATGTATATGGACACTGGAATCGGGTTGAAAAGGAAAATTAGTTCACTCTCGATGGGTTCAATATGAACTCAGAATTAGCGCTTTCATTAGGTGCTTTGATTCCAAGAGCCAGTGTTTGGATTTTTGCCCCGAGTACTTTCACAGTGCACTTTCTTGCTTTTCCAGAGGAAAATAAACTAGGAATCTGTTTAATTAACCATCAATAATGACTTCCCTTGACAGTCACGAAAAAATATTCCTTAAATATATGAGAACCAACGGGAAACCTCGCAGGGAATGGTCAAGAAGCCCTTACATATTTCAATAACTTACTCAAGTTCTTTTTCCGATCAGTGATTTTCACAATTGTGACTCGTTCTTTGAATCAATTTGTAATTATGATGATGTCCAAGGACAAGCAGGTGTGACTAAGGAAAAGCTTTGAAGGGGGGGGGGGGGGGGGGGGGGGGGGGGGGAG